ATTGTTGGATGCCTTGAATATTTTTTAACTAGACTAAATTTTTAAAAAAATGATTATGCGTTATGCAATTTTCTTTTTTAAAATGAAGAGATTCCTAAAATTAATATTTTAAAAAATCACATAGTTTAGGAGTAGCAAATATTTTCATGTATTTTTAGTGAGGAGTATAAATTGGTAAAAAGCCTTTTTGCCTTGTAACGATCACTTATAAAAGGAATAGACAGTTTTAGTTTAAAAGATAAAAATCTAATTACTTTTTTTGTTTTTCGTAATATTAAGATAACAATAAAGTATAACTATAAAGAAAATTACAATTTTTTTGTTTTAATTTTAAGTACTGATGAATTTTCCCACCAGAATTGTTGTAGTTGTGTGTAATACTGCTGGTTGTAGTGAAGCTACATCTGAATATATCACAACGCAAGGTATTTTTTAAAATTTCAATCTTTATCAATAATCAGTTGATAATATGGAAATATATTAGTTGAATTATAGTTTAGTAGTTTTGGTCGAGATTGGTTTTTTTTTTGGACTTTGGACAGGTAAGAGAGTTGGCAATCCCCGGGTTCAAAGCTAAAAATATTATTTGTAAAAGAACCAATTGCTGTTCAAGTTTTGGTTTATTAGTATAAGTAGTTTTGTCCTAATCCATCTGATATTATCGCGGAAAAGTAGTTTGAAATTCTAGCTACTCAACTTTTGCTTTTACGTTCTTACAATGAACTGAAGTAAGTTTTACACTTGTAAATCAATGACAATGGTAAGTGCAATTTTTTTAAATCCGTATCTTTTTTATTTGTACATAGTTTGAAATAAAATTGTATTTTATTCTTTCTAAATAGTAAAATCACACAAAGTTAGACCTTCGCTCATCCCCGATTATGTTTTTGTAATTTTGCCAAAAATATTATATCAGCAAGGCCAATTAATAAATACAAACCTCTCTATTTTGTGACGGGTGAAGACTTCCCGAAAGACACAGTTGTCCAAATGGGGTGGGTGGGTACACACTGTTGCGGATGCCTGGAGAGCGAGGGAGGGTGCCGAAGGACGGTTAGACTGTTGGCGTGCGTGCGTGGTGTCCCGCATGCTTTTGTGACGTAGAGCATTATATATAGATGGATATCGGCAATAGTCTGGGGGTTTTTATTTAAAATTATTTGCACATACTGCACTTATAGTGTATGAAAGGTTTAATTTACCTTCTTGTTAAAAAAACCTTGAATTTTTAAATCTATTTCGAGATCTATTCTAAAAGCACACTTTTGAATTATGAGATGTATTTTTAATGGACCTAAAATTATGTTAGAAATAGAAGCTTAAATGTGGATGTAACCCTCACTCAGTGGGAATGCTTTTACCCACTGAGGTGTTGTGGTTAAGACGGGCTGACCCTGAGATTTAGAACACACTGACACCGACAGTTGTTGTCAAGTACAGGCTTTATTCACTACATCGAGCCATGACGGCGATGCAGAACACAGTAGTACGACGATTACAGATGAATACCAAACGAACAGGAAAACCAAAATAAGAAAACAGAGAAGAAAACTGTAGGCCTAAAACAAATGTAAAGAAAAAGTTACATTCATGACAACACCACGTGTAGGATACAACATACACGGGTACAATAAAATATGTTGCGGCCAGTACACAGTACTGCCAACAAGTACCAATATTGATATTTCGGGGGGGGGGGGGGGGGGGTGGGACGGGGACGACTAAATATTTTTTTTTGGGGGGGGGGGGCAGACACTGATAAAGGTATATGTTTTCTATATAAATTCCATTTCATTCTGGGGGAAGCGAGGTGGTAGACCCGAAGTGATGCCTGGAAGAAACACTGATCGCATTTTTATTGTCTTCTTTAGCAATAAGAACTGCTTTAGGTGTTGTTATAAGAATTACGTGATAGTGTTCCTTAAAAAAACACTGCACTTTTAGTCAAGTTGTTTTGTTATTTATTAACACTGTCTACCTGTATTTTTGCTTTAGAAAAAGATAACAGGCCATCAAGCATAGGTCTTGGGATTGGCATTGGCCTTGGAGCTTTACTTTTAGTAGTAATTACTGTAGTTATAGTTGTAAAATGTAAACAAAGAAAGCATAGTAAAAACGATTCCAAGCCTGTAAAAACGGTAGAAAACATTTACAACGCGTCTGAGAGAACTTACCAAGATGATCACCAGTACGCTGTGACTGTGGGTAAGTGTTAAGATTGTGTTTGTTTTTGCTTTATGTAATGACTAACTTATCTATGAATTGTACAACATGCTTCAAAAATAGAAAAATACGATGGAAAAAATAAAATAAAAAGGCTTCCGCCATAGGATTCACACAAATTCGATATACCCTTTTATAAATGGCCTAGGCATTATGGCTTTTGGCAAAAGAGTCGTTTTTCAATAAGTGCAGAGTAAGTTGGTTTATTGGACGACGTGGTTGGATGGTAGAGCATTCAACTGCTAACCGGAAAGTCTAGAGATCAAATACAGGCTCGAGTCTATAGAACCTCTACGAGTGAACCCCGCTTTTTCAACAAATTAACCTAACTCATGTTAGAGAAAGTAGAGGTGACTGGAAATAATGCTGACCATACTATTTTTCAAAGGCGGAGGTCACAGACATAGGTGAACTCTATTTCACATTCCCCGTGGACCGTCAGGTTCACAACAGGTACTTTACGAAAACGACCAAATATGTATTATATGTATCTATCAGAGAATTTCCCCATCTTTATTCTGGCGGCCTCTGACTTCTGTGCTGTTTCATCTCACTACCCTTTTGGAAAATTATATTTTACGAGAGTAAAAAAAATATCTGATGTGTGTTTTAATACAGCAGAGAATCAAATTTCTTTGAGCAATGTGAAGAAAGCAGCAAAAATAGACAACGTATACGATGAGGTCCCTTACTACAGCAACTGAATAAAACGTTATTATCTGCACAAAAGAGGCAAGTTTTCAGACAGAGCAGAGGATGTTCAAGTTTGATGATTTTTGAAGATTGTTTGTTTACAGTTGTGGTTTTTAACACTCACATTAATTAATTCTTGATATATGATGAATTTGGCTTATTATGTATTTGATATTCCTTGTTAACTTACATAATAGAACAATGTATAAATGTATATCAAATATTAAATATATAATATATATATACGTGTGTGTGTGTATGTGTGCGTGAGTGTAGAGAGAGAGAGAGAGAGAACTAAAGTTAGACATTATTTGGAAATGATTTTAGGAGCTACTTGTTTTAGTAATACTTTTCTAATTCAGTAATTTATAATCTTTGATGAATTCAACTTAAGTTTAGTCCACAAGGTTAATGTAGTTTAGTTCTGTACTGTTAGATAGCCACTGTATCTTATTTGTGTACTAGCGTATGTATTGATGAATTCAATTTATGTTTAGTCCACAAGGTTAGTGTAGTTTAGTTCTGTACTGTTAGCAGTAACGTAGCGAAGGGGGGGGGGGCAGGGGGGGGGACATATGTCCCCGGGCGCCGACCTTAGGGGGCGCCAAAATGGGTTGGAAAAATAAATTGAAAGGTTGAGGGGGGTGCAAATCGAAAGTTTGAGGGGGGGGGGGGGTGCAAATCGAAAGTTTGAGGGGGTGCAAATCGAAATCTCGAGGGGGGGGGGGGGGGGTGCAAATCGAAAAGTTTGTCCCCGGGCGCCGGGAAGGGTCGCTACGCCTCTGACTGTTAGATAGCCACTCTATCCTAATGTGTGTACAAGCATGTATTTATATTTAGAGTAGCATGTGTTGTCAATGTAGTATTAAATTATTTTAGTTTCAACAAGCCTTTGTTTCATTTAGTCTTGTTTTGTAACCTATTTGTGGCTGTTTAACTTATATGTTGCATTACGTACTGTATCACTTGCAAAGGCGTGTCATTGTATTCACACCTTTTTAAAAAAAAATAAAAAATCTTCATATAAAGGGACCTAACCAAGCTTATATGATTTTGTTTAAATAATAACTGAGTTATCTCTCTTTGTCCTTCTATCTTTAAATACAAAACCAAAGTTTCATTGCATCGGCGCGCCCGGCGGTAGTATGCTATCAGGACCAGGTGCCCCAATTTACCCAGCGGCCACCCTAGCGTGTGATAATGCCACAGACTCCCGCGTGAATCTATATGAGTTTTAAAGAGAGATTTACTCTAAAAACACATTTGTTTAGGATTTTATTTTTGTTTTTCACAGAAATGGGATGAGAATGACTCCATTATTAAAGTCTTACTGATAGGGATTAATAAATAACCCTCTTTAGACCTAGAGATTCATTGGGCAGATGAAGTAGAGTTCCTATGATTCATGAGTCATGACCTCAGCATATGATAGGTGTTAGTAGGCCTACTGCGTAAAAAAACAACCGTAATGTTTTAAGAGTTATAGATATGAAGATATCGGGAGTAATGCACCAAGTCTTTTATGTTTGATTTAAAGCAAGAACACTGAGAGTAATAAAAAAGCAAGATGGTGATATGTGAGTTACGTCTATTAGTAATAAAATAATTCTTTTAGGTTTAGCACACACACACACACACACACACACACACACACACACACACACAAACGGAGATAGCAACATTATGTAACTCTGAAGCAAATAAAGTAGACATTGATCCTGCCTGTAGGATTATTTCGGAATTTTATTCAAAATTCCACAAAACTAAATAAATAGTGTATCTGTATCGACAAATGTTCATGTTATTTTATTATTTGTAAATTTGCTGATTGGTCTAGCACAGACAATAAAGCTTTAAAATTAATATACATAAACAGTTAATTCTTTGTATAGACTTACTATAGTAAATCTTTTAAAATAAATGTTTGCTGTTTAAAAATAAAAATAAACCATACAATCCGTATGCATTTATTGTCATCGAAGCATTGGCCGTCGGCACGTGAAACTCTCTTTTGAAATGCGGTGCTAAAAAACTGGCCAGACATTAGTGGTTAAGTTAGGAAGAGCAAATCACGTGACAGCATTGTTTGCAAACATGGCGATCTCTGTGGAACGAACGTAACTTTTTTATGCTATGAGCGCAAAAAGTTATGTGCTTCGGCATGCTTATTTCTAAGTGTAAAAAACAACCTTAAGTTGTGTGAAGTTACGAAAAATGGCATCCGGGGATACTTCTGCCACTGTGGATACAACAAGGGATTTTCTTAGATCATTTTCGGTGATCGAAAATGTTGAAGCTGAGGAATCCGAGTCGTCTGATTCAGATTTTGATGAACTAACCCCCATACCAGAAACACCAGGGGAAACTCTAGAGGATAATACTGATGCTATTGACGACGGTGAGTAGATCTAGATCTTGATCTATTTAAAAAATAATTTAAAAAAATAGGCCTATCCAAAATTTCTTTCGAGTTTCAATTTAGTAGGTACGTACACTCTGTACCGTACAGTCGTACAGCAAATTCAAATAGAAATCTTAATCTAGATCTAAGTTAAATTTCTAAAAAACTAAAAAGTATTAGGCAGGCCTAGTTACCTAGTTAATACAGTTACAGTAGGCCTAATATTTTAGGACTACTTAATAATAGTTAATAGTAGGTCTATTACTTAGGCCTAATATTAGGCCTATTTTAATAGTAGGGCCTAATAATAGTAGGCTAATAGATCTAGAACTGATTCTTTGACTAAACTTCTAAAGAACAAAGTAAATTAAAAATAAAAAAAAACTTAGTTATTTAGTCAGAAGGCTATTCCTAATTTCCATTCATTAGGCTAGGCAATTAAATTAATAGAATAGGCTTGCATGATTTTTACTAAATTTTCTAGACTATCGCCCTAACTCCATGACATTGGCTTATAGCCACCCTCCCCCTAATTAAAATTGTATTATAAATGAAAAGCTGCTTACCCTTGGATTAGTGTTTATTAAACAATGTTTATCTGTTGAGCTGTTTGTTTATGCTAAATAATTGCCTGCTAAATGAAAATGGGGGCCTACAAATACATTTTAAACATTTAAATAGATCTAGTTAACAACAGGCTTTAGACACCTTAGTGATAAAAGACAGTTTTACTTTAAACTATTGAATTTTTTGTAGACTTGTTAGTTCGGTAGTTAATGAGCAGATGCCTAGATGTCTTATATTATCGGCATCGTTTCTTTTTAAAACCAGTTATTATGTGCTACAAGCAGATAGTGCAATTATACAAATTTCTTATTTATCTTCAGTGTTGATAATACTTAAACTTTCTAGGAAATGACGATTTGTTGCAAAATGCAGTAGTTAGTTAATGTGCATAAAATTGTGAAGTTATTGTATGTCTAGATCTAGATGGCATGCATTATTGGGGCCACGGTCACTTAGGTACAATTAGTCAGTTGTAATATATCCAACTATTAAATCTGATTCTGTAGCCTATGAAACATTTGTGCACATTTTGAAACACCTAACTATTCTCATATAGGAATGTTTTGTAGATAAAATACCATTTTTACAAAGTGTCAGTATCTAGTTGTTCATGTAAGCTAAGTAGGTCACACATCTCATAACAGTTAATGAGATCTTATTAAGTTTTAATTATCAATATAATTAATTTCTGTTTTTTTGCTTTTAAAAAAACCCAACGACTGCTGATTTAAAAATAACCTTTATATTTTTTAAATTAATTAATATGCTGTATTTATTATGGGTGAGAATGGTAGGTCTATTGTTTTGCTATACAGTGGTTGTGGAAATTTGTGTACAGCTGCACCTATAAAAAATGTAACAGATTACATTTAAGTAAAGCTTATAGAATGTATTATCTATATATCAGTGCCTTTCTTCATCGGGATAGCTACTGCTTCTGGAATTCTAATCCAGCATACTTGAAATATGTCTACCCATTTTTTTCTGACCTCTGAATCTTATCATTTATAAATTGAAAAGGTGTGTTCGTGCATTGGCCCAGGCTTAAAACAGCTTTTCCCCTTATCTACTGTTGTATTGATTTTGCTGGGATTTTCTTTTCCTCATGCTTTAATAAGTTAAACTTTGGTTTACAAAAGAGTTCCAATCTTCTACCCTAGTGAACATAATACTTAAATGTACAAGGACTGCTTTTCCCTATAGAGTGTTAAATACTGATAAAAAAAACAACATTTGTTAATGGTTATGCATTATTTAATTGTAGCGGAGAGATTATTTGTTTATTTTTACATTCAGCGATATCCCAAATGTGATATTTCTTTGTGGGTGCTATTAGAGAGTTTCTTTCATGCTTCTCTTTGAGGGGGGGAGGTAGGTTACCCCCACCACCACCACCAAAATATTTAATTTACATAGAAATATGTGCTTTACCCACTGCCCACCTCCCCCCTTCCCCCCTCAAGTTTCTGGTTCTCCCTCTATCTTCCCCTCCCCTAATTAAAATGTTATGTAATTTATTTTGGTTTATGTTTACAAAATGGCTGGTTATAGGAGGACCAGTACTTTATAATTCCCGTGTGTGTTGCTGGTGGTAAATCTTTTCCCACCTGTTCATTTATGTTGTGCGTTCATCATCATCTCTTCCTTCATGTTCACGGTTTAGTCAAAAAAAGCAAAGCATACAATAGGGCATATCTTTTGACAGCTCTTTTGTGTGTCTGTTAGCTTCATTAATTTTAGTTTGCTTGTCGTCCTGTATGTATTAGCTCGTCAATCATATCAGACAAGTTAGTTGACAAAATAATTCATTTTTAGCGCAATTTCCATTCTGGAGAATTGCGTTTATTAACTCGTCTTTTCTGGGAATGTATGGATGGATGGATGTGTGTCCGCAGCTTTAAGTCGTATCTCCTCCTCAACGAAGCAATATCGAGGACTAGTTCCAAAAGCAATTATGTTAAGCAAGTTACGAGGATGAACATAGGCCATAACAATTCCGGGTTTCTTTCATGGATTTCCCGGAAAAGCCAAAACACCTCGAAAAAATGCAGTTTTTGGTCCATATCTCGGCAACCAGACCACTTAGCGACTTAAAACATGTACCAATCGATTCCTGCCATAATTTAGAACAATATTGCCGAAAAAAGTTTTCAAAAATATCCTTTCGTTCGGTCACAAAAATTTTTTTTATTTAATTAAAAAAGGACCGAATTAGTAGGCATTTTATGCAACCACACCACACGCGTCATCACGTTCAATAGCTGCGCCATCACGTTCAATGGCTGCGACGTCACGTTCGGTAGCTGGGCGCGCAATGGTTTTTAGTCATGTTACTCTATTGTAAATAAAACATGTAAAATACTGAAAAAAATTTAATAAAAAACGTTTTAATAACTAACCAATGGTTTTACTAACCCTGCTCTTGATTTACGCTACGACAGAGCTATTTTTAGATAACACAAGGAAATTGCGCTAAAATTGTCACTAGACTTTTTTAAATTACTTGTTTAGAACTATTCTTAACGTCGCTATCATTTGTGTCGTTTTAAGTCGCGTGAGACAAGGCATATTGCACCACCTAACTGAAAACCCTGATTCTGATTCAGCTTTTGAAAACCAGCTATGGGATTATATTTTAGGTCTTGGAGACCGTATTATCTCCCTTCATTGTTTGTCTATGTAGGGCGTCGTATCAGTAGGCCTGCTCTATGTTTGAACAACACTCTAATTGTATTTACCGAACGCCATTGTAGGATGATTTTTATCCGTAATTTGAAGACATTATTCCGTCCCTTCCCCAAATCGTTTGTTATATCTGGTGGGCGTCTCCCGAGGTCTTTTACTTGTTCCTGTTTCAATCTTGATCAATGTCTAGTAGGGAATGCCTGTTGGGTTGTCCCGAAACAGATGTTTTATGCGCGGTACTTTAGGAGTTATTGCCATCAATTTCAACAATAGTGCACAGTCCCAGGAGAAATTCTGAAGTTAACTAGCACTCTTCCAATCGGAATGCTTTCTATCACGGACTGGTACCGTTTTTACTCTGATAATAGTGTCGGCTTCATCGTCCCCTTAATATGATTAATGCGTCTAGGCGGAGTTTAGGCGTCGATTGTTGTATTTTTTAGTTGTGTACATAGCAAGCTGTTTTTTTAAAAGACTATTATTTCGTGTGTGTTGCTCGAAAATGGTCATAAATGTAGGGGGTGTGAGATTTTTGTGACGAACTTGACTTCATGAGTCCTCTTAAGAATTTTGCTCCAAATATTTAGGAAGCTGTGAAATACAGACCGATGATCCGTTACATTCTAGTTTGACATATTTTGTACCGGGACTGAATCGTTTCCCATAGTATGCCCGATACTTGTCTGTCCTGGCTATATAAGGTGATTGACCTAGAAAATAATTCTAGGGAGTGGATCATATATATGATTTGAGAAGCTAGTACAATAGACTAAGACTCACAATATATTATTTATTTACGCTCCGGAAAAGCGTGTATACAAATGTGTATAATTTAAGAAATATTCTGTTTTTTTGTCTCATTGTAGCTTTAATTATATCCCATGATCTCTCTAGTGTGTGTGCGAGGGCAAGGTTAATATCCGGCCCCTAAGATTAGAGAGCAGGGATTCATGTATTAGGATTAGCAGCGTAAAGAGGATGAACGGATTAACATTTTTTTTTCATCTATACACAATGACGGTCAACATTGTAATAGTGCTCTGTTCGGCTCTTTTTTTCCCCATTTCTATTAATAAAATGATAGACCAGGGGCGTAGCGAGGGGGGGGGGGGGCGGGGGGTGCGGACCGCACCGGGTGACACCATTTAGGGGGGTGACACCAAGGCAAAAAATAACAAAATATATAGAGAAAAAATATATAGAGAAAAACTTGAAAGGGGGGGGGGGTGTAAATCGAAAGTTTAAGGGGGTGGTGCAAATCGAAAACTTGAGGGGGGGGGGTGCAAATCGAAAGTTTCGGGAAGGGTCGCAACGCCTCTCCGGGGGGGGGGGGGGGTTGACACCATTAAGTGCCGCACCGGGTGACACCCGACCTCGCTACGCCACTGTGATAGACGCATGTTTTGTTTTAAATTAAAAAATAACGTTTCTCCTTTTTAGCCTTGCCGTGATAATGTTTACATTCAGTAGAAACAAAGGCAATTTTTTGTGCGTGATTTGTTTTACTGAAGAATAATGAATATAACATCGGTGTTTATCTTATTCTTTTCTGCTCCCTAGAGATGACGGAGCTTAGACCTCACTTCATGCCATGTTATTCCAGCGCTCCCCTTCTCGACTTCTATCCCCCATGTTGGTCTTGAGTCTCGAGATAGGTCATTCGTCATTCTTATAACCCACATGTACCATACTCAGAGGCGTAGCTACCCCTTTCGGCGAACTGTCAATTTCACGCCTCTCCCCCC